GACCCTAAAAACGTTCTCATTCCACCATTGCACAAAAAACTTGGTATCATGAAACTTTTCGTCAAGGCTTTAGATAAAGATGCTCAGAGCTTCAAGTACTTGGAAAGCAAATTTCCAAGTAAATCGGATGCGAAATTAAAAGAAGGTATCTTTGATGGTCCAGAGATTAGAAAAATGATGGCTGATGATAAGTTTATTAGTTCCATGACCAGCATCGAACAAACTGCATGGCTTAGCTTCAAGGACGTTACCGCAAACTTTTTGGGTAATCGTAGAAGCCCCAATTACAAAGAAATTGTATCTCAAATGGTGGAGAGCTTTACGGTGATGGGTTGTCTCATGAATTACAAATTACATTTTCTACACAATCATTTGGATAGTTTCCCTGAAAACTGTGGTGATTATAGTGAAGAACAAGGTGAACGTTTCCATCAAGATGTGAAAGTGATGGAAAAGCGTTATCAAGGAAGATGGGATACATGCATGTTGGCTGACTACTGTTGGATGTTGAAAAGAGATTGTAAAACGGCAGAAAAACGTAAAAGAAAACCTTTGCACCGTCACATTCGATGAGAAACGCGTAAGGTATAGCAGAAAAAATTAGATGGCATGACTTTCTGTTTGTTTTTGATGAATACTACACTACCAAGGTGGTGTGACAAAAGTAACCCCAGATTTGAATTCAGCGACCCCAAAAACGTATATATAGACTGGAGAAAATCAATTTTCTCCATTTTTGCAAATTTGACCTTCATTTGCCCTTGACTGTGACGTGGTGGGGCAAAACTGACCCCGGATTCGGACTCAGCGACCCCAAAAACATAAAGTCTGCATGGTTTGGTCTGTGGGTTTTGCCACTTTTTTTTTGTGTGGCTGTGAAATCAATATCCTTTCATGGGTTTCTTAAGTTTTAGGAAATGAAAAATGTCACTAGGAGTCAAATTCGGTGAATATCGAGGCTGAGGCATGAATGTAGTGTTGGTTTTTTGCCAAAAAATCTCTCATAAGCAATGATAAATAAGCAGGTGTATTATCGTAATGCAAAATCCACGAATTGTTTTTTTAAAGTTCTGGAGATGTTTTCCGTATTGCCTCTTGCAAACGGCACATATCTTCAAGGTTAATACTCCTTATTGACTGCATGACTTTGTGGTAGGAATTCCTGATGATTTACGCCACGGTAATTAATGAAGATAGTGAGCTAAACCTTAGTTTTGACCTCATAACCATAACCATAAATTTGTAACCAGTTATGACTCTTTTGAGCATATCAACATCATCATTGACATCGTTTAACAGTTATTGAGCGATGCTCCTTCGCGGGTTCTTCTGTTCAAAATTAAGCACTTTTGGAACGAATTTCGCTGATACACGTCCCATGCCTCAAATATCCGAAAGAATATGGCATAAGCCAACCGGTATGCTAACATCTTTTGCAACTTCTCTGATAGCGATTCGATGATTTTTTAACACAATTTCTTTCACTGCTTTAGCGTTTTCATCTGTTGTTGATGTGCTGGGACGTCTAGGGTGAGGTTCGTCTTCGACATTCTCTCTGCCTTCTTAGAACAGATAATACCACTTATAAACATTTTTCTTACTCAAAGAGTAGACTCTCCGTATGTAATTGTCATTATTTAAAGAGCTTTAGAGCACTCGATTCCATTTTTTATTCAAAATTTAATACAAACTCTTTGCTCCATTCTTTTCGATAGAAGAAAATCGCCGAGCACACCAAACACTTCTAACCTCTGACGCCTCTGTCAGAAAAACAACATGTGTTATATGGTCAAAACTGTGCATATATGATCGTGGTGAGTGTACCAATACAACAACAACAATTCAAAACTTGAATGTACGTAGCCCGTGAAAATTGAAAAGTCATCTTACTTTTTGAACACCCCTCGTACATATATATATATGCGTGTGTGTGCGCGTATGTGTGTACGTATATGTATTTGTTTTCAGTTGCAACGGGACCTAAAATACGCTGAGCGTTCAGCAAGGCAGCGGGCAGTTACCGAAAGGACTGCAGTCGAAAGGGCTGCGGCCAAAAAGGCTGGTGTTGAAAATACTGCGCTCAAAAAGGCAGCGGCAGAAAAGGCTGTAGCTAAAGTAGCAACTCAAAAAGCTGTAGCTGAAGTAGCACTCAAAAAGCTGCAGTCGAAGCAGTGGCCCAAAGAGCTGTATCCAAAGCAGCGGTCGAAATGGCTATAAAAAGGAATTCGTTTGCGAGTTTACCGCCAAAAAAGAAATTTAAGAAAGTAAATAATAATACTCGCATGCTTATAAATTTCCTATAACAATTAAATTAACATTAAAATTATTATTTTTCAGATAAACAATGCTGCTCGAGAACCAATGAGCAGTATTGAAAATGCTCTTCGAAGGGTAAACTTCACCACCGCTGTCAACACCACCACTACTACTACTATCCCCACCAGCGCTAGCACGTTGAGGATGAGGCCAAGAGGTATATAATATGATTATAGATAATTTGTATTATATTCGAAAAATATATATATTTTATTTCTTTTTATTGAAAAGTATTGTGTACATTGATTACATAATATCTTGTTAATTTTAGAGTAATTTTTTGACATCACCACTAATAGGATTATATTATACAATGCGATCGTGTAATATTAAGCAGTAGGCCGCAGTATCTTCATGAAAAACGATTCGAGTTTCAAATTCTAGGCAACATCAACTGATGCACTTTTTAATGTTTCATTTTATTTGGAGCAGTTTATAACTATAAGCGGTATTTTATTAATGAAATCTTTTTTATTGAGTAATGGCTCATTTTCTTTACCGTAGTAGGCATTTTGAAGATTATAATATATATCATACAGAACAGCATACTAATTTTGATCAATCTTTAAATTAAGATTCCTATATATTATAGCATTTTGAATTGAGAAATAGCTTACTAATGTCACAATGATCAAAATAACTAGAATTAACGCTCGCTGAACTTTTACGTTTAGTTTGAAAAGCTAAAATAACAAAGCGAGGCTTTTCCAATTGATTGGAAGTCTTAACACTCCAAACATGCTTTGATGTACGAGATAATTTTGGATACTCATACATTTCCGAAGTACGATAACTCATTGTCATTGCACGATTTCGTCCAATCTGATTGAGTAATTTGAGTTATTCTTTGTCCGCAACCATCGCATATGGCATCAACCATTCAACCTTAGTTAAAGTAATTTTTGATTTTTCTAAAGCAGTAGGATTCCCCATTAGTTTGCTTAATATAGCATTGAAATCATCTCTTGATATTTTGAGAATAAGTTCATGCTTGATATTGACTACAATTTTTCGATAATCTTTAGCAAAGCCCATTAACATACTAAGAGCTATAGTCACATCATAATAACCTAGAGCATTAGATATACTGAAAAAACGGTTTTTGGAGTTGAATTTTAGGGGTAGTTTTTACCTCTTTAAATCGTTTATTAGCACATAAAAAATACTTTTTTATTTATTTAAAATATTTTTTTGTCCTCTACAACATATCACAATTTCATTGGAATCGATTCCACACACTTCCCTTATCTTCCTTGTTAAGCTATAGACATGTTGCATCATCTATACCTTCTTTTGAATAGAGGAATGAAAAGTAAAATAACCAAATTGAAAAACAAAGTATTTGCGCTACAAGGCACTTTACAATAACAACAAGAAGCTGAAAAAGAATCTATGTAGTTTGGCGGATTATACTGAAGATCTGAAGAAAGGAAAAAACCTTCAAGCAAAATAATGGCTAATAAAAATAATAGTATACATCAAAAACTTAAATGTATATTTTAGAATGAAAGAAGTATTTATAAAAGACTAACTGATATCCAGATTATTTTAGTCGAAATAGACACATTCCTTTGCGTGGAATCATGGGTAAAAAAGGTATGACCAAAGCGATATACGATTCAATTTTCCCGTCTTCATCACTTATTGAATGGATCGCCAACACTCTAAAAGAGTAGAAGCCCAACCAAAAGGTAGAGATTTCCTTATAATAGTAAGAAAAAATTTAGCATACTTAAAAATTAAAAACTCAAGTATAGAGATGGGTGGCATCAGAATAACAAATGTAAATCTAAAAATACATTTTTTAATTTATTAGAGAGTCCTAGATACTAGTTTATCACAATATAAATGTAAAAACAACTATTTAATATACAACAAGTAGATGAAACTGAATCCTATTAGGTGAATGGGAATTCATACAATCAAGCATGAAATTGTGAGAAAACAGATGATCATGGTGAACGACTGCACGATAGTATAGAAAAGTTTGAACACTTTATACATAACAAAAACATTAAGATACGTAGAGATCGTTCTAATGAAAAACAATTTAATATAAATCAATCAATTATTTGTACTATTGATCTGTTTGACATAATACATATACAAATAGGTAGAGAAACCCATAGGGCTGATTATTATCCTATTTATTTCATTATTAATGCTGAAAAAATAATGTATACCAATGAAACATCTAAACTTAAAACAATCATAATAAATTAGTCTCCTTTTAATAAAGATTTCAGCGATAAGTACTTCAAATTCTTATCAACTGACTAAGATATGCTCCCACCAAATAAAAAATTCAATTTTTTTTCTTAATCCAGTTATTGATCCTTTATTTACTTGTACAACTTCTAAAAAACATAATTGTAAAAAATCTAATAAAGCTAAAAATCAAGTCTCTTGGTGGAATTCTAAATGTAAAGGTCTAAGAATAGCTACTAGAAAAAAGTGGGAATTTTAGAAAAAAAACCACAAGTCTTCATTAAATATAAAAAATCGGTAACTGTAGTAATTGTAACATTTTATAGGTTAAAATTAGTGAAATTGTAATGTACAAAACTGATATAACTCAATGTAAGACCAATAAGCCTACCAAAAGGTTTCAAGTATCTCAGTAAAAAAAATACAGCAGTGAAATTAGTTTTGTTATTACAAGAAAATGTTCAAAACAGACTTACCAATACATGTTTCATTATTATGTAAAATATATCCTTCATGACAATCGCATCGATATCCAATAGGTAAATCAAAACACAGTTGAGAACAGTCTCCGTTATTTTTTGAACATTCATCAATATTGCATAAAGTGTTCTTTTCATCTTCCCATCCATCACAATCTGGTTTCTTATCACATAAAACTTCTAAAGCAATACATGATCCCTTTGAACATTCAAATTCAGTAAATGAATTACACGTAGGCAAAATAATTGAACAATGGTTTTCATCACTACCATCAATACAATCTATTTTTCCATCACAATATAAATGACCTGAAACATTTTTAATAAATACAATTTTTTTTAATTAATCCAATATTCAGTTAATAGTTTATTACCTTCAAGACTTGCAATTGAACATTATAACATTATGGAATGAAAATATATACGTACATACACACATACATATACACACTAAGTTTATAAACTTTTGAATAAAATCTTACAGAAGGGCATAATTAGATTCATTCAAGGAGAAATATGTAGTTTTAAGGCTACATTTATTTCTAATTTTATTTTGCCTGATTTTAGATTTTTCAGCTTTACGTAAACTAAACATTACTAATATTTTTACTAACTCAAAATTTAGTAAAAAAAATATTGATTTAACAATGATTTATGTTGGAGGTTGTAAGCTTCAGCGACTTATGTACATTTCTTATAAATGCGCATATCCAACGCCATCTCTCACAACTCATACAGTAGGAAATATTTCAAAATACATCTTTCAAGCAATATTTCCTCCAATTATCTCTCGATCTAAGCTATTTCAATAATATATAAAATTGTTTCTTCGTATTATTTCTAAAAAATATATTTAAATTTTGTGGAAATATTTCATGAAATATCATTTAAAAGATTTTAAAAATAATTTTAGAAACTTGACTGAAAGTTTTCTTGAAATATTTCTCAGAGATTTTAGAAACTTTTCAACGAAATATTACTTTTTGTTTTCACTTAGCATTTTACGTAATATTTTAGAAATGTGTCTGAAAAGATGGCTGGAAGCTTTCGTGAAATATTTCACGTTCAATACAGTACTGATAACAACCCATTTTCCTGTCTTTTACTGCAGGCATCGAAATCTCTTTGCTGCCGGAAATGAGTCTCACCGGGAACAGAACAACTATCTATGATAAATGCGTATATTACTGGACACGCTTCAAGTAATATAGACAAGTGAAGTATTATGAACAGAAACGTGATAGATAATATTTAACGTGAGCGACTATGTGTTAAAGCGAACCCGCAATTTACAGGCCTGGACTAAAGATATTACTCTCAACTTAGCATCCAAATACGTCGAAATCTTTCTGATTACGAAAGCTTGTAAGAATAATGCTTTTTAATATAAGGTCATCCCTCGTTTATATTCCAGACATGTGCGTTTTTTGCATCCGTTAGGATATCTCTCTCAAGTGATTTGTAAAGAGAACGTTGTGCTGAAAAGATACCGACTTCACCCATTGAATTACTGTAGAGGAGTCCGACTAAACATAATGCCTCGTGTTTTTAAGTCTTTTTTCTAAAAAACCCTGCTAATTGGGCTCATAATAATTCGTTGTAGCTCGAACTAAGGCAACGTATCACGTTTGATTGGCGCTTATCTACTTTTTGCTATTACTACTGAAGTGCTAGATACGCACTTTCATCTGAATATATTAATTGTAAGTAGGCGGTCGCGGCGTAAACTGTTTGACTCGTATCCCAGATAACGTGAAGATGCGCTTTATCATGTATACCGCAAGTCGCACAGCATTGCAAAATTCTACAATCTCTGATCATAGTGAGTTTTGATAGCCAACTTAGCCATTAATCATATTCTTCAATTTTGATTTGTCTGACCCAGAAAACATTGCTAATACGTATAGTTTACACGGAAGATTTTGATTTGAGGGCGAACGAAATTATCAAATCGAGTGGATTATATATCGATCGTATATCAGCTAGATGCTAAGCGTTGCTATCCGTCCTGCAGTTACACGGCCACCCAGTTGTCAAGTTAAAGGAGCTGACAAAGGTTTTGGTGGTACACGACAGCGCATCTTTACCACCTGCATATCCATGAGAGCTCGATTGAATGTGCAATACTCTTTGATTTTGGATCTGTGCTTTCACTCCTGTCACAATGCCTGGCTAGGAGCCCATTAACTAGATATGGTCTGTATTTAGTTACGGCCAATGGAATACCCATCGCCACATTTGATAGGCTTATCATCACTCTGGATTCCAATGGCTCTTTTTCGTTACCGACATACGAATGTCTATCTTAGGGATAAACTTCCTCAACTTAGTGCTAGTGAATATGTAACGTCGTCGACTGGTCAACCCTAACACATCCCAGGATTCCTTGGCCTAGTTGCGAAAGAACGTCATTTCTGGTGTAGCGACGATCACTGGCTCTGCTAAACTATAGCATCAAAACTTCTACGATAACTTACTGGCGGAGTGCAGTAACCTTGCAGAGTTCTTCGAAAAGGGTGTCTCAATCCAAGACATAACCACGGTTTACCCCGTTGTCACGATTGACTGTCTTCGAGTACCCCGCGTTTTAAAGTGAGGTCTCTTTGAACGGCAGACCTCACAAGTGCCAACTGCTCCTCCTCAACGGGGTGACGCGGTGAACACCCAGAAGGGTGGCCAAAAGGCGGCTCTGGCTAAATTTGAACGCGATCAACCCTGTTTTGACCCAACGACAGAGTTTTGAAAGATCTGACTTTGGGACGGAACGGGGCAAAAACAACCTTTCGAATGACGGATACCCACCAGCGTGAGCGGGCTGGACCGAAACGCAATGGGGAGACATACCTCGGTATGTCGAAGCGATGGACCTGTGAGTCGTGGGAGAAATCCCTTAATACAGGTACGCAGGGTGGGATGTATTTTGAACGCGAGCCCAGGAGGGGGGACTTAGTTGGTTGATCGTCCTAGGAATCTTCCTCTGGCTGTCCTGGCTGAGTCTCCCTTCTGACATCCCAATTTTGGGTTGGCCTCTGCGGGGTAGTGGTACCAGGTCAAGCAAATCTCGTAAGATTTGTATGCTGCGTGCTTCCGACGTAGTAGACGTTGGGGCAACTAGAGTCCCGTCGCGCCCAAACCGAGGGTCAAACCTTTAGTTCCGCTCTCCTTGAGCGTTGAACCGTGAAAAGATCGGTACTCCTTCCGAGGAGGTCGCCGCCTTAGATTAAAAAGGTTCCGACTCGCTGAGTCGCGCCAGGGATGTCGTAGCAAACTTGACTTCCAGATCCCCAATATATTTGAAAGCGAAGGGGTGAAAGACAGTGGGCTATGCCAACTTATTGGCGCCCAGAGAGAAGGGTGGTCATGTCTTGGAAGACGCCATATCACCCTCAAATCGGAAAAGTGTGAAACAACGCAAACACTAGCTGTCTTCGAGTACCGGCGGTTGCAATCACGACGCTCTCAGGAAGCTCGATTATAATCCGCTTAGCAAAAATATGGATGATGCATATAGTGCACCATATGGCCAGCCGCGAGGCTGGCCAGGTCACTTTGTGCAAAAATCTTTTGTCAAAGCGGCGGACGACAATTGTCTTCCTTAGCAGAGAACGGAGACTCCTCAAACAAACAACTCGTTGTTTCGGGCGAGGATGTCGAAACTTCTCTCTTTTGTGTACGGGCATATACAAATGCTGAAGTATAAAATGCGTCACCGATTGCCCTCGACAAGCAACTAACGCTAGTCGACCCGAAGTGAATGCAATGTATATTTGAACGAAGACTTGCAATCACAAGTGCGGATGTGTGTACCTTCACGTGGTGGGGCTGAAAACGCTGTATCTGCAAAGAAACAGTAGGCAAAACACACAACGCTTGCCCTCAGGGCTATAGGCCAACCGGCCAAACAAAACATAACAACACGGACCATAACAATACGTGGTGAGGTGCGGCCTGTAAACGCCCAAACATTCATCGCGGAGTCTACCACACCTCAAGAGCTCAACTCGAGCCCAGAAAAGCCAAAATCCGGGAGTCACTTGAGGGGAAATCTCTTGGGATTGTGGTACCGCGCGCCCTCTTAGAGGACGGGAGACCGCTCCGGGAACTAGTTGCAGAGGGCCAATGGTCCCGGCAATCCGAATATAATTCGGGTAGATAACAAATTTCCCCCTATCGACTAGCAATCGGTAGGTGCCACTACTGTGGGTAAAGAGTCGCGGCCGTGGTCATAGCAGCCACCCAAAGTTCTTTGCCTCGAGTTCCCGGAGTAAGGCCCGACACCAAATTGGGCCGAGTAACTCTCGATGACTAGAACGCACTACGGATGCCAAAACCCTTAGGAAAAATATTTCCACAGAAGGGCAGCATCCTTCCTGCTAAGGAATTGCTTTTGAGCCCTAATAACTAAAGCAACTTTGCAATTGAAAGCGAAATTAGTGGCTGTCAGCTCCTTTAGAAAGCGAAAACCATGCACTGAAAGTCCATCAGATCCAGTGCTGCTAATGGCGAACACAGGCTAAGATGATAGTAAAGGCGGAAACCCAACACGCTCAGTCAAATGCTACTTTGGTTGCAACTCGTCTAACACCTAACCCGGACTTGACCAAACGAGGTTTGATTGAAAATCAAACCCAGCGTGAAACAAAACACGCTGGTACACTCGTAATTAGTTTTAAGTTATATTATATAATAAGATTAGTCCTAAGCAATTAACTATAATTTAAGCAATAGCATAAGCAGTAGTACAGTAAGTAGAAAATTAAGTAGTATTAAGATGCGTTAAATAAATAATAAGAAAGTTACCGATTAAAAATTAAGAATCACAAATCAAAATCAAATGAAAGAATAGATTATAAATTGGAAACAAGCAAACCAAAATCAAAACAAAAATCAAAATCAAAAATCAAAATCAAAAATAAAAACAGATCAAAAGCTAGAAAAATAACTAGCTAATAAATCAAAATATAAATAAAAGAGCCATGGGACCCCGAAACCATGGAGAAACCCGATAAGGTAACAAAGCTCAAGCCCAAGCAAACACGCACACGCACAAGTACTCACTGCTCGCACTTGAACGCCACTCGAACGCCACTTGCTTAGTTGAACGCGAAAGTTAACGCCAGGACTAAAGTCGAAAGCCACCCTCCAGATCGCCAGCAGCGATCCCAAAGGAGGAAAAATATAACTAGGAATTGCGTTGTACCTTGAAAGCGACATGGTCAACCACTCTAGGTTTAACAAGGCGAGGAAACGTAAGCAGGAGATGACCGTTGAGAAACCAGAGCACTGCTCTAACACTCCGGTATCAACTCAGTTTCATTCGCAACCGATCAAAACAGAAGAAAGCAAAGACGATTGCCCACCAGTTAAAAGGTTTAAATTGAACGCACAACAAAACCCCGAACTGGGCCCGAAACTGAGGATCATACAATTGAACCTCAACAAAAGGCAAGTAACGAACGATGAGCTGGGAGAAATCATGACAGACAGAAATCTTGACATACAGGTGGCACTGGTGCAAGAACCATATCACTGGAATAACGCGATTTCAGGTATGGGCAGCATCGCAGCTTTCCATGGATCCAAAAAGGGTGAAAAGATTCAAGCTGCGATACTTTACAATCCGCACAAAGTCACCGCTACCAAGATTTCTAATCTGTGCGACTCCCATTGTGTTTGCGCACAAGTGGTCGGAACCTTTGGCGAAATTTACTTCGTAAGCCTCTACTGCCAGTTCAGCCACAGCAGGAAGACCTATCTTGACAAACTAGCTGAGACTCTGAAGCAATTGAAAGGCAAAAGAGTCTTAGTTGGAATGGATGCAAATGCCAAGTCAAAGATCTGGTCTAATACACAGGACAAGAATGGAACGGTCATTGAAGAATTCATAGACCAATTTGGGCTAATAGTGGCCAATAGAAGGGACCAACTTCCAACGTGCCGTAGCACAAGGGGCGAGACGGATATCGACGTAACTTTACATACGTCAAATCTGTCAAACTTCTTGGCTAGCTGGGCGGTGAAAGAATGGACCACCAGTGACCACAGGCCCATAGTGATCGAACTGGATTTTGCCTCACAACCAGCCAGACTCATACGAACAGAAGAAACATTAGAACCACGGTTCAACATGAGAAAAGCTGATTGGGAGAAATTCGGCAAACTTTGCAAATTCGAAAAAGAGAACCTAGCTAAAGTCCCTTTAAGAACCTCTGAAGACATTGAAACATATGTTTCAAAACTTGAAGAGGTCCTAGTAAGGGCAGCAAGGAGCTCTATTCCACCCAAACAGAGAAGAACACGCTCTCTACCCTGGTGGAACCCTGACTTGCGAAGTAAGAGGCGAGCGATACAAAAAGAACGCAAAATCGTCGCTCTGAAAGACAAGGAAAGATCGAATAGGAAACAAAGAAAAGCCCTCCAGAGATCACTTGAGAAATTGAGTCAAATGAAATATGAATATGCAGTGGCTGTTAAAAAAGCCAAACGCAACAGCTGGAGAGACTTCTGCACTATCGAAAGCGAAAAGAATGCTTGGGCGTATCCATACAAACGAGCATCCAACAAAGTCAGAATCTCAAAAGCAATGTGCACGGTTAACTGTAATGGTTCTGTCACAAAAGATTGGAAAGAAACAAGCATGACTATACTAGAAAAATTAATGCCTGATGACGACCCAAGCTGCGAAAATGACACATATGCAAAGATCCGCAGAGATATGCGGGAGGTTCCAGTAACCGGCAACGCAGAGCCTTTCCTAATAACGAAAGTTGAAATAGCCCTTAAAGCGAACAAGGCAGGGAAATCACCAGGCAAAGATAGAATAGAGTCGGAAATGCTTGTTAATGCAAAACCATTACACCAGAAACTGACACGACTTTTTAATGCCTGCCTAAAATGCGGAGTGTTCCCCAGAAGATGGAAAAGTGGAATGCTAATCACGTTGCTCAAAGGGGTTGAAAAACCAGAGAACGAGATTAAATCATATAGACCCGTATGTCTACTCCCCATAGCCGGGAAGACACTCGAGAGGCTTGTGATTCAAAGAATTTCCAACATTCTAAACAGCTCGGACTGATCTTCGGAGGATCAATTTGGCTTTAAGGCAAATAGATCCACAGAGGACGCCATCAGAAGACTATATAAAATAGTAGAAGAGGCAGAATCTGATCCGTCGATCAAGTACGTAGCCGCTATTCCACTGGACGTCTCAGGAGCATTCGATGCCTTATG